GACTCTCGGGGATCTTCTGACCCGGGTCAATCCAGACACGGGTCAGTCAGGCCTTGCAGAATCCTGCAAGATCATGCAAGATCCTGCACCCAAACCTGGGTCAATGCGAAGGATCCTGCAGGATCCTGCAGGATCCTGCACCCAAACCCGGGTCAGTGCGACTCTGGCCCTGCAGGATCCTGCCAGATCCGGCGCCCTGGCCGACCCCACTGACCCCCATCTGCATTGACCCCGGTCCCAAGGCTCCCGAGACTCAGGATGAGGAACTGGTCCCGGGGAAGGGGTCCAGACCTCTGGAACACACGCCCCAAGATGGCTCCGAGAGGAATCTCTTCGGGTTTCGAGGGGGCGAGACTGATTGAGGACCCTCCTCCACCTCCTCCTCCTCCTCTTATTATTATTATTGTTATGTTGCTTCTTCTTTTTCTTATTATTATTAGTATTATTATTATTCGTATTATTACTCTTCTTATTCTTGTTAGTAATGCGAATAGTATTATTAGTATTTTTCTTCGTATTATTATGAATACTATTATTGTTCGTCTTCCTCTTCGGCTTATGATTGTTATTATTATTATTCATAATAGTATTAGTAGTAGTATTATTATTAATATTATTATTAGTAGTATTAGTATTAGTCGTAGTCTTGTTATTCTTATTAATAGTCTTATTATTGTTATTGTTACTAGTATTATTAGTAGTATTCTTCGTATTACTATCATTACTACTTATTTTAATACTATTATTCGTATTATCCTTATTGCTCTTAATATTCTGAGTATTAATATATGTTTAGTATTATTAATATTCCTCCTCCTCCTCCTCCTCCTCCTCCTGCTCCTCCCCCCCCCACGACGAAGCTAGGACGAGGATAAGGTCGGGCGAGGATAAATCGAGAATCTCTGAGATCCGGCGGCTCCGCAGGATGGCCCAGGCGCAGCGGCCTTCTCAGAGCGTTCTGGCACGCTCTGAGAGCGTCCCAGAACCGTCTAGAACGTATTTATCCTCGTCCTAGCCCCGCCCGACAACCACCCTCGCTGCTCTCCCTCCGGACTGCTGCTCATACTCCCCCTTCCTCTGCTGCTGCCGATGGGCTCTCCTCCTGCTGCTGCTGCTGCTGCTGCTGCTGCTGCTGCTGCTGCTGCTGCTGCTGGTCCTCCTCCTCCTCCTCCTCCTTCTCCTCCTCCTCCTCCTCCTTCTCCTCCTCCTGCTGCTGATGCTGCTGCTGCTGCTCCCCCCTTTAGGGGTCAGCATCGGATCGGAAAGCTGGCTCGACATCGACATCCCGTGCCGCTGAGCCAAGTGTAAGGCGGAGCACGTGCCACGCAAGCGGCACGGCGGGTTGAGAAACAGGGAAGATGGCCTGATCCTTCTCGCTCACGACAGAGGGCCAGCATCGGATCGGGAAGCTGGATCGAAGCTGAAGTCACCTCCGCCCCCCCCCCGCAGTAGGGGTCCGTTTTTGACTACTCGCGAAAACGCCCCTGACTGGCGCGGCCACGCCCCCCTTTCCCCCCCTTGTCACGTCTCGCATCGCGCCGGCTCCGTCTGGGAATGAGCCATTCTTGAACATTCCCAGACGGCGCCGGCGCGAATCGTGACGTGACTGGCCCCTTCCCCCCCACCCTTATCACCCCCGCTGTCGCCAGGAATATGAAGAACTGTCTCTGGGGGCCAGAATCGGAACGGGAGGCTGGGTCGAAGTCGAAGTCCAGTCAGCTCTTCTGACGTCGGGTCCCAAGTCGGCGATCGCCGCGTCGGCTCGGACGTCGGAGACGGGAGGCCGGATCGGAAGCAAGTCGGAAATTGCTTTTCGGTTCGGATCGATGTCGAACCGGTTCCTCGAGCCAGCATGAGCTACGCGGGCAGACGATGATGACGATCACGACGCCGAGCCCCCGCGGCGACGAGCGCGACGAGGCGGGGGGGGCGGCCACTGCCCCCCTGCTCCAAGCTTCGGCGGCACGCCCAGAGGGGAAGGCCAATGAACTAGGTGCGCGCGCCATATCTGGCGTACTACGCTTCGCGATGATTTCTTCTCTACCGCAGGCGCGTGTCACAGCGGACTTGGACGTGCAAAAAGGTCCCCCATCGTGTCAGGCGCCATCGGGAAAGGGGAGCGCCGTACAGTGAAGGAGGAGGAGGAGGAGGAGGAGGAGGAGGAGGAGGAGGAGGTAGCGGATGAGCAGGAGACGAGCAGAAGGAACAGGAAGAGGAGGGGGAGTAGGGGGAGGAGGAGGCGGGGAGGAGGAGCGGAGGAGGAGAAGGAGGAGAAGGAAAGACGAGAGGAGGAGGAGAAGAGGAGGAGGAGGAGGAGGAGAAGGAGCAGAAGGAGGAGGAGGAGGAGGAGGACAAGGAGGAGGAGGAGGAGGAGGAGGAGGAGGAAGGGAAGGAGGAGGAGGAGAAGGAGGAGGAGGAGGAGGGGGAGGAGGGGGAGAAGGGGGCGGGACTCCTCATGGGGTTCCAGGAGGCCTCTGGACTTCCAAGGAACTGTCTGCGCCTCCCCGGAACTACTGGGGGCTCCTCATGGAGGGAACCCTGGCGCACTGCCGAGAGCTGGCAGGAAGGAAGCGAATCCTGGAGGACTGGGGCCCAGGAGGAAGTTGTTCACCGTCTTCTACCCCCTGGGGCCCTCCACGAGCCCCAGAGCCAAATAACCCTGCGCAGAAGGAAGAGATGGCCCCAGGAAGCCAGGTGCACGCAGTAGGTTTCGCAACCTCCCCTGCCCAGACCCCCGACGTCATGATGTTTCCCGAACGTCGACCTCAGAGGTCTCGACCCATTCCCCGGGACTGGATTTTCATCCTGAGTCGTTGCTTGACGGCCCCGAGGCCCGGCGAAGGCCCCCAAAGGCGGAAAAGAGCGAAAGTCGTGATGTTTCCCAACCCTACTGTGGTGTTGGGTCCCCGTTTTGAAGAGACAGCGACCCACGTCTCCCACATCCTCTCATCCTTCCCCTCCTCATCCCTCCTCCCTTCTCCCCTTCTTGCCCCTGCCCTCATCAGCATGCGTCTTCCCAACCCAGTACAACGTTTCGTGGCCCAATGGGGAGCTCCACCGAAAGCCCCAGTGGCTGCACTTGCATGCGTCTCCCCGCCCAGTACAGCGTTCCGTGGCCCCAAAGGGAGCTCCACCGAAAGCCCCAGTGGAACCGTTCACATGCCTTGCCCAAACTCAGTACAGCGCTTCGTGGCCCCATAGGGAGCTCCACCGAAGGCCCCAGTGTCAAAGTCCACATGTGCCCGCAAAAGGAGCTCCACCGAAGGCCCCAGTGGCAAAGTTCGCATGCGTCTCCCTAACCCAGTACAACGTTCCGTGGCACCATAGGGAGCTACACCGAAGGCCCCAATCAATGGCGGTGTTCGCATGCGTCTCTCGCACCCAGCACAGCGTTTCGTGGCCCGTAGGGAGCTCCACTGAAGGCCCCAGTGGCAAAGTTCGCATGCGTCTCCCCCACCCAGTACAAGGCTCCGTGGCCACATGGGGAGCTCCACCGAAGGCCCCAATCAATGGCGGTGTTCGCATGCGTCTCTCACCCAGCACAGCGTTTCGTGGCGCGTAGGGAGCTCCACCGAAGGCCCCAGTGGCAAAGTTCGCATGCGTCTCCCCACCCAGTACACCGTTCCGTGGCTCATAGAGAGCTCAACTGATGACGATACCCACAACTGCGGCACACACAACTGCAAATGGTTGGGTGCTTTGCAAGGCGAATGTCATGATTCGAGGGGGGGGTGATGGGACTGTTTTCCACCACCACCACCACCATAAGTTGGAGGGGGAAGGAGGAGGACGAGGAGGAGGAAGAGGAGGATGAGGAGGAGGAGGACCCCCTCCTCCTCCAACTTATGGTGGTGGTGGTGGAAAACAGGCCCATCAGGGTGGATTTCTCGATCTCCTCTTTCACCCGACCCAGATGACCCTCGAGTCTGCGACGGCCGCTCAGGACAATTCGAGCAACCCCAGAACGCTCTGGGCAAGACGGAGGAGGAGGAGGAGGAGGAGGAGGAGGAGGAGGCGGAGGAGGAGGAGGAGGAGGAGGCGGGAGGAGGATGAGGAGGAAGCAGGAGGAGGAGGGGAGGAGGAGGAGGAGGGAGGAGGAGAGGAGAGGGAGGGGAGGAGGAGGGAGGAGGGAGGAGGAGGAGAGCTGACGGAGAGCACGCCCAACCTGGAAAAGCCGCTTCGGGCCAACCAGTGTTGTGATGGACCGCGCGGCGACCTCGAAATCCCAAGAGACCTCACCGCGCGGTCCGTCCACGCACGGTCTGGGGACCTCGGAGGCCCTGCTCGCACGAGACGTTCTCGGAGGAGGAGGAGGAGGAGGAGGGGGAGGGGGAGGAGGAGGAGGAGGAGGAGGAGGAGGAGGAGGAGGACAAAGAGGAGGAGGAGGAGGAGGAGGAGGAGGACAAAGTGGAGGAGGAGAGTGAGGAGGAGGAGGAGAAAGGAGGAGGAGAAGGAGAAGGACAAGGACGACCCCGAGACCCAAAACCGCGCGGTGACCCCGCATCACCACGGTCTCACCGCGTCGGCCCTCCTCCGAATGCTGCGCTTCTGGGCCACGAGCCGAGACTCCAGCGGCCGCTCGGAACGAGCCGGGCGCCCCCCCCGGGACGCTCTCGGCGAGGGGCAGCCGCTCCGAAAGCCCACAGGAGCCGCCCAGAACGCCCGACCCCGTCCTCCTCCTCCTCTTCTGCTCCTCCTCCTCCTCCTCCTCCTCCTCCTCCTCCTCCTCCTCCTCCTCCTCCTCCTCCTCCTCCCTCCTCCTCCTCCTCCTCCTCCTCCTCCTCCTCCTCCTGCCTCCTCCTCCTCCTCCTCCTCCTACCTCATCCTCCTCCTCCTCCTCCTCCTCCTCCTCCTCCTCCTCCTCCTCCTCCTCCTCGACCCACCACGCGGCAGGGCCGCCACACCGCCCGGGGGCCCCCGAGGCCGCGCGGAGGGGCGCGCGCGAGGGGCGGGCCCGGCGGGGGACCCCGCCTGGCAGCCGTGCGCCGAGGCCGGGGGCCTCAGCCGCGGCCCTGCCGATCGGGGGCCGCCCGCGCCAAGGGGGGGAGGGGCAGCAGGCGGCGGCGGCCGCGGCAGGCGGCGGCGGCGCGGAGAGGCGGCGGCTGGGGGGCAAGAGCATGGGAGGTTTCCAGGGACGCCGGGAAGAGGGGGCGCCTCCTCGCGAGGAGGAGGAGGAGGAGGAGGAGGAGGAGGCAGAGGAGGAGGAGGAGGAGCGTCAATACCTCCTGGGTCCACGGGTCTCTGGGCACTCAACGCCTCGTGGGTTTCAGCCAGGGGTTGAGGACCAGCCGATCCAGGCGGAGGCGGAAGAATCGAGTGATCGTTTGGCATGTTGGCTAATGCCGCATTGAGGGCATGCAGCTTCTGCGGCAGAGTTAAAGAGCGCCAGACTTCATGCGAGGTCAACTCCTGAGCAACGTGGTATATACAGAAACTGAGATCTGTTGCTAAACCTGAGCTTTCCAGGGCGGGGTCAAACGCGGGACATTGCACAGGGAGTCCAAGCCCTAGACGGAGGAGGGGGCACGGCGAGACGACAGCTCGGATACGACAAACGAGGGAAGTGAGGCGGGGGCACTTTAAATCGTGTGCTACATACGCTCTTGGGGCGCGAGCACCTGAAAACACACAGCTCCATAGAGCGTCTGTGACGTACCTTCGGTCCATGATGGTCCATCCCCCGAGATCGTCCTCAGGTACGGCCAGCGAACGCTCGGAGGGGCCCGACGAAGGATTTCCCGCGCCAGGTCCCATCTCGCTCTCATGCTCTGGGGGTAGGACAATCGAACCACGACCGCGGGCGGCGACCAACCAGGAGCCCAAGCTCATCGGAATATACGAAACTCGCTTAAGAGTACGCAGATTGAGTCCTTGCAGCTTTGGCCGATGACCCACGAGGGCGGCCTCTCGCACGGCGTTTCGCGCACGGCTCTGGGCGAGGCGGAGCAGCTTAGCGGAGAGGGGGGGTGCGACATCGGCACGGCGGAGCGAAACTGCTCACAGCATTGAGCAATCGCCTGGCAGCGCTGCCAACACGGAGCAGACCAGCTACCCTGAACGTGGTCGCTTACTCCAAGGCCCCCGGCAGCACGAGGCCTCCGCGGCGTCCCTTAGTCGCTCCCTCCGCCCCGAGGGGGAGGAGGAGGAGGAGGAGGAGGAGGAGGAGGAGGAGGAGGAGGAGGAGGAGAAGGAGGAGGAGGAGGAGGAGGAGGAGGAGAGGGAGGAGGAGAGGAGGGAGGAGGAGGGAGGGAGGAGGAGGAGGAGGAGGGAGGAGGAGGAGGAGGAGGAGGAGGAGGAGGAGGAGGAGGAGGAGGAGGGGGAGCGGAGAAGGAAGAGGAGGAGGGGGAGGAGGAGGAGGAGGAGGAGGAGGAGGAGGAGGAGGAGGAGGAGGAGGAGGAGGAGGAGGACCCCCCCCAAAAGGCAGCCCGGATGGCCGTGTGACACACACCGCGAGGGGCCGCGCGCCGCGCGCCACGCCGCCTGTCCACTGGCGCGCAGCGCCCCTGAGACGAAGCCAAGACACGGATAAAATCTGGGCGAGGATACATCCCCCCCAGGAGGCCCCAAAAGGCGCCCAAGAGGCCCCAAAACGGCCCCAAAAGAGGCCCCCAAGAGGGCCCCCAAGAGGGCCCCCAAGAGGCCCCCAGGAGGCCCCAAGACGGCCCCAAAACGGCCCAGAAGGGGCCACCAAGAGGCCCCAAAACGGCCCCCGAGAGACTGCAAAACTGCCTCCAAGAGACCCTCGCGAGGTCTCCCACGAGATCCCAACGAACATCCACTGGCTGTATAACCCACAGCCCAGACCTGGTGGCGGGACCCGCCGTGGGCAGCGAAATGAATCGAGAATCGCTGAGATCTGGCGGCTCTGGGGGATGCCTCGGGCGCCGCGGCCTTCTCAGAGCGTTCCAGAACCGTCCGAGAGCGCTCCGGAACGCTCTGGAACGGATGTACAGTAGGGGCCAGTCCACAAGAAACCTTCCACAAGAAACCCAACCCTGACACCCCAGGACGTCCATGGGTTTCTGGTGTGGGATCGTCAGGCCTTCCACGGCAAAACCATCGAAACCCAAGAAACCCAGGGCACCCTGCAGGCAAGCAGGGCGTTTCTTGGCATGTGCCTCCAGTGTATTCTCGTCCCATTAATCCCCGTGCGAGGGCAACCTGAGAGCGCTGGCCGTGGCCGATCGTGGGCACGGCGGAGAAGCAGAAACGGAAGCGGAGGGCGCCAGAGTCGCGCGCGCTCCGAGGGGGAGCTCGCCCGCAGGGCATGGCGTGGAGGCCGTAGCCTCCGATCTCACTGGCCTCATCCTCCTCCTCCTCCTCCTCCTCCTCCTCTCCTCCTCCTCCTCCTCCTCCTCCTCCTCCCTCCTCCTCTCCTCCTATCCTCCTCCTCCTCCTCCTCCTCCTCCTCCTCCCTCCTCCCTCCTCCTCCTCCTCCTCCTCTCCTCCTCCTCCTCCTCCTCCTCCTCCTCCTACTCCTCGTGAATGGTGGTGTCTTCAATGAGGAGGAGCTCCACGCCACAAGGCCGTGGCACGCGGTTCCCGCGCGGACGTCCTGGACCGGCGCTGGGCCCCCCTCACTGGCGCGCGGAAGGGCCAGGGGCGGCGCCGGAGGCGCCGCCAGGAGGGCCCTGTTTTGCGACAAGAAGGCTGCGCTCTTTGTATATTCGCAACGCTCTTGGTACATTTGCAGATCGTCTGGTTGCCAGCGTTACAGCCCGTGTTTGCCAACGCGTCCTTCCAGATGCACGGCCGAGCGAGCGAGCGACCAGAAGGCCGTGGCAGGCGGAGCCGAAACTCGGCGGCGACAATAGGGGCGAATAGCCCAGGGGCGGGCATTGCATGCATTCGCCCGGGAGCCTCGCCGAAGACATGGGTCGTCAGCGCCCCTGGATACATGTCTTGCTCCCCCCCAGGCTATTCGTACCGATCGTCGCCTCCGAGAAGCGGGGGGGACAAGGGTGGAGCCGAGTCCCCTGGCGCGGAGACTGCCGGAGGGGCGGCCCATGCAAGGGGGGGCGGGGCTGCACTGCGCGGAGGCTGCCCGGGAAACCAAAACGCACCGAGACTGCTACTCCCCGGACCTCTCCTGGGGTGCGTGCGGACCAGGATTCCGAGGCGAGTCCAGCGGTGGCGACGAGGGCCTCCCAGGAGGCCGAAAAAGCGGAAAACGGCCGCAGGGCAGCGGCATGGCTGCCTTGATCCTCCGCGCCGTGGCCGCGCAGGCCAAGCGGGAGGCGGAGGAGCGCACTGGCCACGGAGAGGCGACCTTCGGGCTCTGGTCCTTGGCCCTGGTCGGTGCGAGCCTGGGCTTCCGTGAGAACCTTGCCCCTCGCTGCTGCGGGGCTCCCTCGCGGCCTGCTCCGGCCCACGGTGGTCTGCTCAAGCCAGCAAGGCTCACGGATGGGCTCACGGATGGGGAGGATGGGGAGGAGGAGGAGGAGGAGGAGGAGGAGGAGGAGGAGGAGGAGGAAGAGAGTAGAAGGAGGAGAAGGAGGAGAAGGAGGAGGAGGAGGACGAGGGCGGACAAGAGCAAGAACGAAGGAGGACGGGTTGGGGACAGCGGCGGACGGCGGCATTACTCCGTTTCTTTCTCTGCTTCTTCCTCCGCTTCCCTGCGCCGTGACGGCTCGGCGGACGGCTCTGCTCCTTTGGTACGCTCGGCGAACGGCGGACGGCGAACGGCGGACGGTGAGGAGCTAATTACGCTGTCTCTTTCTCCGCTTACACGTCCTCCTCCTCCTCCTCCTCCTCCTCCTCCTCCTCCTCCTCCTCCTCCTCCTCCTCCTCCTCCTCCTCCTCCTCCTCCGCTTACACGTCCTGCTCTGCACGCGCGCCGTCTGCCCAAGCTGTCTGCCGCTGTGCCTCAGCCAGCCTCGCTGTCCTTGTCGCTTCAGCCACGCAGGTAAAGTCTGACCGACGTCAACAAGGGGTTGGGGAGCGGAGGAGGGCAGGGAACCTGAGATCCTGGCGTCTCTGAAGGGGCCCCAGGACACACAAATAAATACACACACATAAAAAGATTCCCCATATTTTCCAATATGTTCTGGGTTTTCGTCTTCCCCCCACTTCCCATATTTTCCCATATTTTGGGGGGAATCGACGATTAATTGTGTGTGTGTGTTTTTTCCCCTCCTGAGTCTCAACTGTTTCAAACCGGCGTTCTCGCTGGGCTTCGGGCCATGGGGACCCTCGCAGATCGACCAACCTCGAGAAACACAACGCAGAAAGCTGGGGCCTAGGGCCCCCGTCGTGATTGCTCACGATGTTGCCTTCTTGGGGGGTCGCCAGCTGCCAGGAGAAAGGAAAAGAGGAGGGAGAACCTCGAGAAACACAACGCAGAAAGCTGGGGTCTAGGGCCCCCGTCGTGATTGCTCACGATGCTGCCTTCTTGGGGGGTCGCCAGCTGCCAGGAGAAAGGAAGAGAGGAGGGCGACAGTCTGCGGTGAGTGCTGCTGGGCTTCTGGAGGAGGGCGGCGGGCCTGGAGTGCCGGAGCTGTCCTGCCCGCGCCGTGACTGCGCAGGCCGAGGAGGAGGAGGAGAAGGAAAAGGAGGAGGAGGAGGAGCAAGAGGCGGAGGAGGGAGGAGGAGGAGGAGGAGGAGGAGGAGCAGGAGGAGACTGGGATTCATTCACGCTGAAATTCCTGTTCGCAGTCAACTCGCATAGTAAGGACGAGCGGCTTTCAAAGCCCCTTCGGCCCATCCCTGGCCGCCTCGGGAAGCGTCGACGGCCTTCCAAGGCCCTTGCATCCTGATCGTTCGTCCTTGTTGTACGGGTTGACCGCATACCGTGTATCAGGGTCGTTGGAAACCTGCAGGGGCCCTTGCCCCAGAGGCTTACCTGCGGCGGCATGCTGCCTGTCCAAAGACGGGTGGAACGGCCTGTGGCAGCAGCGCGCAAGCCTTTACACCCCTTTCGACAGAGGCCGTGCCAACGCTGCGTCTGCGGCAAGAGCGGCGGGAGGGGGTAACATTAGGTCGGGCCTGTCCCCCTACAGGCCGATGTTCGAGGAAAATAATAATAAAATACTCCCCAGACTATGTTTTACAACTTTTGAATATTCCTCCTGTAGAGGGACAGGCCCGACTTAAGGGTAACAAAGGGTAGCAAAAAAAAGATGACAGGGCGGAGAGGGCAGGGGCAGTCCCAGTGTCAGAGGCAGGACGGGGCAAAGGGAGGGCGACGCGGTGGAGGATGGGGAGGGGGCAGAGAATCAGCAAGGAAGGAACTGGAAGGGGATGACTGGAAGGAGCAAATAGGGGGCCACATGCGAACCCTACCCCTACCCCCCACGATTTTTTGAGAGGGAGGGTGGGGTTCGCTTCGCTCGGGAGCTCCCGAGCGAAGTGAACCCCACCCTCCCTCTCAGGAATCGTGGGGGGTAGGGGTAGGGTTCGCATGTGCCCCCCTAACAAAGAGGCGGAGGCACTGACCATGGTACAAGAAACGTGGGAGAGCACTGGCAGGACGACGCGACGATACAGCGTAACGCGCGAGAGCGAGAATAATGAGGTCTGGAAGAAGTCGCGCGACTGCTGCATCGAATTCAGCAAGTGGCTGAGACTTGAAAGTGACAGCAGGGTGGATGCTCCCACGAGATAGTGGAGTGCAAAACCGCTGGCCTTGCCAGCCGCTTGCTTCGCAGCAGCCTTGCCGGACTTCCCCTGTGCGCGGAAAAAAACACATCTCCGCACATACATACCAGACGCACGGGTTAAGACATACTGTGGTGGGACCTGGGGATATCGCATAAGAGCAGAATACATCAGACATGGTACTTGTTGTATGCTAGGCCCTAGAGAGATACAAGCACGTTGCATCAGGACATCAAACTTTTGATCTCCCATACCACCGTGAGCGGACCGAACGCATCGCACTGTACATGGGAACGGTCATATGTTCGACAATGGCTTATGGTTTCAACTGGTTCCCCGGAAAGACCATAGAGTGCGAGACTTCAGCCCGCGAATCGAGCGTGCTGGCGATCAATGACAGTGTCCCCACTACGGCGGTGACCCTGTTTTCGCGCAGCACGCGAGACTAAATCTGCAGCATGCAGAAAGCATGATGGAACCAACACGTAAGCGATCACCCTCGAGTAGCGCGCGCACGCGCAGCCGCCGCACGCGCAGCATGACGATACACGTACAGCGACGATCCAGCAAACGATGTATAGTTCTGTCACTGAAGGACATGCCTCAGTATCCAAATCACGACCTGTAGAACCACTGGACCACCGATGAAAAATTGGTCGACGCGGGGATTCCCATACGTGCATGAATACGAGCGCGTCCGCACACAATGAGTATGGATACCATATGGCGGCGAATGAGCCTGAATACGACCGAACATGAACATAAATAGGTCTGCGCGTTAGTGGCTCATCAAGAGTGGGTGTGCACGAGAGAATGTGAAAACCAGTGGGTTTTTGTGCGGTTGGGTTTGAGTGCGCGCGCGCGCCTGAACTTGAGCGGGTTCTCCCATTTACAGAAATTGGCGTTCCCCATATCATCGGGCACACAAAAAACAATCACACCAAAAACACAAAAAACTGCTTCCACCAATCAATGCGATCGCCGCACTCAAAGTCGCCATCACCACCCCAATTGTAATCAGCAAAGCGTGGCCACCATCGCAATCAGCATCAACATCACCGTCATCATCAGCACCAAAATTACCTCGGTTCACGCTCAAGAACAATGTGAGGAAAGCTCGGACGGGAGCCTCATTCCTGGGCGACGTGTGAGGATGTCTCGAAAGGGCGCCCCCTCCGTACATAAACCCAGCGGAGATCTACAGCGGGTGCGTCCGCTGTAGGGCCCCCCCCCCCGTTTGTTGTTGATTTGAGGCGGTAGCCGACGTGTAAAACCTCGAACAGCGTAGCCCCGGGGCACCTAAAGACTGGGGAAGCCCCGAGTGGGCGCCCCATGTTTTAACGAACTGTGAGGATTCATCGAGCGGAAGCGCCGATTGAGATATATCCGAATCGGCCATCGGCCAAGTCTCGAAAAGGCTCCCCCTTCTTGATGAATGCTCCCTAAGACGGCCCTAAAGAGGGCGATCGCGGTTCCCAGTAAGCCATGGTACACTTTCTGAGCCAGTGGACGCAAGAGAGTCGCAGTTGATGCAGGCGCCAGTCGGGCTAGCAATCATACACAAGATTTTGCATGATGCACAGATGGGGTTGAATGATACGCGAACCCCGAAGGCCCCCTCCATCCCCCACTTCCTCCTCCTCCTCCTCCTCCTCCCTCCTCCTCCTCCTCCTCCCTCCTCCTCCTCCTCCTCCTCCTCCTCCTCCTCCTCCTCAACTTGCTCCTCCTCCTCCCTCCTCCTCCTCCTCCTCCTCCTCCTCCTCCTCCTCCTCCTCCTCCTCCTCCTCCTCCTCCTCCTCCTCCTCCTCCTCCTCCATCCTCCTCCTTCGGCGGCCTGCTCAGCAAATGCACCCATGAATGTGCTCACGCTGATCCCGTATCTCGGCTTGATGGTTACATTACCCCTCTGTTATACAGCCTGTTCCTACAACCCCCTGGCCAGAGCCACTCGCATGGCGATCGTTTTGGGATGGGCTGGCATCGATACTGTTTAGTCAGCGGCCGCAGGCGAGAGCGCCAGCGGCGAGTCCAGTCAGAGCGGGCCGCGCAAAGACGAATTAACCTAAAGCGGTGGGACGAAGCCTCACGCGGCACCTCAGCGGCCAGGCCGGAGAGTGGAAGGGGGCTGACGGCAACTGCTGGGAAGCTGGCTGGCATCGATACGAGAAGCATCAGGAACTGCGCGGAGACATGTCAGCCAGGTCCACGTCGCGAACAGACTCCCAAGCAGAGGGGCCAACGGACAGGCGCAGAGGGGGGATATCGGCTCCACGTGGCTGCCGAGCCTGGGCCAAGCAGAGGGATTGGCTAACCCATCCCTGTGACGCGAGCCCCGAGTTACTGAAGGGGCCCAAGGACACACAAATAAATACACACAAATAAAAAGATCCCCATAGTTTCCAATATTTTCTGGGTTTTCGTCTTCCCCCCCACTTCCCATAGTTCCCCATATATTTTGTTGGAATCGACGATTAATTGTGTCTGTGTGTTGCTTTCCCTCCTGAGTTACTTTCCCCAACTAGCCGCCAAACCAAACCGTATCTGACCGCGACATGTTCCGTCGCAGTTCCTCATGTTTCCGAGCCGAAGCGCCCGTCCTACATAAAGGAGTCAGACCAGAGGGTGCGACGCAATATCTGGCCCGGGCACCTTGCGGGCCAAACACAGGCTCGCATCTCAAGACGATAACAGACCGCTCGCTGTAAACATTTATGTGCATCGGAAAAACATGCGTGACGACACACGTCTCAGGGTTTCTGCGCGCGCACACACACACACACAACCACACACAAACACACACACACACACACACACACACACTTGCGGGAAACGAGTGTCCAGTTGATTCTGGCCATTCGCGCTCAAATCTCTGAGCAGCGCCAAGTATGTCAAACAGCGGTGAGGGCAGTGGATAAGGAGCCGTGGGATCAGGAATCCAGTGTCTGAAGCCGTTGGGACTCCAATCGTGGATCGGCCATGGATGTCACCGCCGCCGGCCTCAGAAAAGGAATCCTCCAAGGGTCTGGAGGCTCATGGATACTCTCCTCAACGAAAGCTCCCACCGCAGCGCGTCGCAGCGGCGGCCCCGGCGACGTGCCCTGCGAGCGGAGAGCGTGTCGCTCAGCTCCGCGGGGCGGGAGGCGGGGAAAGGCTCGGGACGCTGACGCTTGGAGGTGGGGACGCTGATGGCGTGTCGTGCCGACGCGTGGTGGGCCAGAGCCGGCGGAGCGCCAGGCTAAGCCCAAGTTCCTGACAGCACCCCCTGCCCCCTGCCCCCCAAAAAAACTACGCCCAGTTCGGCGGCAACGCATGGGAGCCTCCCATACCATCTTGTCGGCCCTCGCGAAGCGACGCCAAATCGGCGCTAATCGACGCGAAAACGACACTCATCGACGCTAACCGACGCTAAATCGGCGCTACCTCATCGACTCCCAGACGCCAATCGACGCTAAAGAAAGAATTGCGAGGGTGCACGAGGCTCCCATAATTTGCTACCGAAGCCTGGGGCGCTAGCCCAGCTCCATCCCCGCGGCCGGCGGGCTCTGGTTGCACCGTGGTCGTGGCAACAGCGGTGACGTGCAGCTTTTTTTCCTTTCATCAGGGCCCCTTTGGGATCTCTAGAGGTCTCGGCCGGCGACATGACACCACCCTCCCGAGGTAGCGACCAGCGATGATCGCCACAGACGGCGGAGCCACTCGGCGAGCAACCGAGCGCAAGCGCTACAAGCAAAAAGCCGTCACCGCCAGCCGCCCGATGAGTGTTCGAGGCGCCCCCTCTGTCGAACTGGTGCTCCCGCCCGAGCCCCGGCGTCAGGTTACGGGGGGTGCCATACCCTTCGGATGGCTCGACCGAGACGACCACATGCACGAACAAGCTGGTGCTGCGACAAACCCGAACACACGCGATGCTTCGCATTTCCTCCTATCCCCCCTGGCTCCTGCAACAACATCTCCCAAAGCAGACACCATCGATTACGCTTCGGAGGCCCGAGACCACACCACGACATCCTGGCATGCTACTACTGGGAGCCAGTTCGACCTGGAGGAGGCAACTGACATGTCCATATGTATCATCCCTCCCTCTCTCCCCCTTTCCATCCCGATCATCCAAAGCAGTCCATGGCGACTGCGCAGCCTCAAAACCGCCCGAAGCGACAAGGAAAACGAAACCGACCGAAACCGACAGGCCGCAATCGGTCCCGAAGGGAGCAGCGACGCAGCAACGACGCGGCAGTCGACCAGGCCGAAGCGGACGAACGCAGCCGACTGCGACACACCCGAAGCGACCGAACAGCGACCACTCTTCTTAGCCTACTCGTTCTCATGCTCCCTCTCCCGCCCGGTCTCTCTCGCTCTCTCTCTCTCTCTCTCGATCCCTCTCTTCTCATCTTCCTCGGGAGCGGGCCCACGCTCTGCTGCCCGGGCCGGGGCTGCCACCCCCTAGGACGCGCGACGACCCCGAGAGGTTCCACCAGGGCGGGCATGGACGCATGGCGGACGTCCTCCCGTCGCCCACATCCGTGTGCGAGGTGCTCGTCTGGCACACCACACCAGAAACGCTCGCGCAACGTCCGTCTGGGAGAGACGTCACTGGGTGCACTGGTGATATGCCGCTCTCCGAGCTGCCAGCTCTCTGAGCACCTGCAGAAGCTGGCCGGATAGGGTTTTCTATTATATTCCCCGTAGCGGCCGTTACCCTGGAGGAGAGGCGGGGGGGGGGGGGCTGGGGTCCTGGGTAATGGTAACGCTTTGGCGGGGTGGGGCACGTCGGGGCGTAGGTGCGCTGCGTTAGAGTTAGAGTTAGAGTTAGAGCTAGAGCTAGAGTTAGAGTTAGAGTTAGAGTTAGATGTGGAGGGGGGGGTCCAGTTCCACCCCCCTGCGTACGATCGTCACCAGGGGTGGGGGGGGACCGCTACGCGCCAGAGGATCAAAAAACAGTCGCCTGGCCCCGACGTGGCCAAATAGGCCTGCCGCGGCCCGAAGGCAGGCCAGCAAGAGGCCGCAGAGGCCCAGGACCCCCGGGAAGAAGCGGAGAGAGGGCGGCACTGCACCTGACCAACCATCAGCCCTGACTGTCGAGGGGGGGGGGCTGCGTCCTCTGGCTTCGCTTTGGGCCTCGGCTTGGGCTTCGGCTTGGGCTTCGCCGCGTCGGGGTCCAGGAAGGCGTACCGCAGCGGCTTGGGCTCGGTGTTGGCGGCCACCTCCCAGGAGACCTCCTTGTTCCAGACCTGCGGCCAGGGAGGGGGCGGGAAGCAGGAGCCGAACGAGGGGCAGCAGCGGCGGTGGCGGCGGCGGCGGCACCAGCAGCAGCAGCTGCAGAGTCGTGGGTGAGATAGTGAGCAGGATAAAACGTGCCCAGGGACACACAAATAGATAGACATACATACCAGGATTCCCCATATTTCCCATATGTGCTGGCTTTCCGTCTCCCTCCCCACTTCCCATATGTTCCCATATTTTTCTGGGTGTCGACGATTCAGTGTGTCGGTGTGTTCTTTGCCGTCCTGATAGGAGAAGGGGGACAGGGCAGGCGAGCGGGAGCGAGAGCGGCGAGAGCAGGAGCGGGAGCAAAAACGGTAACCAAAGCCCCGCCGCCGACGCCCTCTCTTGTCACACACAACGAGGCGCACAACAGCATCCGTGAGACCGCATCGGCCTCGGAATCACCGTGTATATGAGTTCAGCACGGCAGAATGTGGCAGAGAGAGCTGCAGGAAGGCGGCCGCACGACGCAGAGGAGGAGGAGCAGGAGCAGGATGAGGATTAGGTCTGCTTTGATGGAAGCTTTGAAATTCACGAGCAGTTCTCTCTTTTGGCGTTTAGCGGCCGTCAGCGGCGAATAGGGGGTGATTGGTGGACGGCTGGCACGGGGCGCGTGCGCATGGCATGCTGGCGTGGGGGCGTTCGCAAGCGACTGGCACTGGCAGAGTGCTGCATCCCTCGCCGCTCGGCGGTCGCAAGCGCACCGCGGTGATCACAGGCACGTTTCGGCAATCGCTGGCTTTGGGGCTTCTCGCATAGGGCACGGAGGAGTAGGAGAGGGAGGGGGATGAGGAGGGAGGAGAAGGAGGAGGAGGACGAGGAGGACGAGGAGGAGGAGGAGGAGGAGGAAGAGGACTAAGACGACGACGACGATGAATGATGGGGGAGGGGAGGAGAGGCGAGGAGGGAAGAGGGGGCAAAGCACAGAAGGAGGGAACGAGCGAAAGAGCAGCAGCGCCGATCTGCTGTTTCTGTTGGAGCTTCCTGTTCGCAGCCCGGGTTGCCTCCGCACGGCGGCCCGCGGATGTGGCAGATCGCGGGTGCCCCGAAATGAAGGCCAGTTGTGTTCAGCGGAAGCCATCGGAGGGCACACGGAAAGCGGCAGCAGAGAAATGGCAGCGGTTCCGTCGACCGCTGCTGCGTTTTGGGAGGGTTCCGGAGGGGCCGAAAGGGCCGCCTCCAGCCGAGGCCCGACACCGCGTGAGTCTGACGTGCTCCTTGGGCTTGCCAGATGCGTACCCAAGCACATGCGTCCTGGGGCACTTTGGGAGCCCACCTCGGCGCTCCCAGGCCGCTTGGGAAGGTCAAGAGGGCGGTCAGGAGGGCCCAGTGGGGGCGCAGGCCGGATGTACTTGACATGCTTCTAGGGCTTGCCACAGGAGTGCCCAAGTACATTCGTCTTGGAGCCCTCTTGGGGCATCCTTGTTTTTGTTTGTAGCCTGCGTGAACGCTCCCAGGCCGTCGTGGAGGGCCCGACAGGGGCTCAGGAGTGGGCTCGACCGCATATGCTTGACGTGTTTGGGCGCCCAAGCACATGCGTTCTGGGCCCCTCTTGGGGCCCCTTTTGGAGCCCGCCCGGACACTCCCAGGCCCTTCTGGAGGGCTCCCGAGGGGCCCTGCTGGGCCGCGTGAGGAAAGGAGAGAGGAATCCTGAAGAGAGGAGGGGGGAGGGGGGAGGGGGCCGGGGAGGGAGAGGGAGAGAAAGGCCCACGGAGGCCTCGGTCCCCGAGGACACGTGCCGAGGCCTTTTGGCGAGAGTTCCCGCGCCCAGACACCGCGCGTGGGCGCTCGCCACACAGCGATCCCCCGGGCAAGCCGCCGACGCTCGGAATCGCCCCCCCGATGACAGCGGAGAGGGGGCGGCCCGGAGCAGGGGCGCGGGCGGCGTCGAGGGCGAAGAGGGAGAGAAGGGAGGGGGGAGCAGGCAAGGTGACAGAGGAGAAGGGCCGAGAGGGCAGGGGGGGAAGGAAGAGAGGGGAGAGAGAGACGAAGGGGGAGGAGGGGAAGGCAGACGAAAAAAGCAGCAGCAACAGCAACAACAAAAGGAGAAAGGAAGCGACGCAAGCCGCCAAGCGATCGCCAGTCGCTGCGAAGCGCCACGGACAATCGCGGCTAAATGCCGCTATTCGCTGCTAGTTGCCGCTAGATCGCCGCCAAGTGCCGCTAATTGCCGCTGCTCGCCGCTAAATGTCGACAATTGCCGCTAACTGCCACTAAATATCGCCAGTCGCTGCGAATCGCTAATGGCAACTGCCGCGAAATGCAGCTATTCACTAAATGCCATTAAATCACCGCCAATTGCCGCTAATCTCCGCCAAATGTCGCTAGTTGCCGCTGACTGCCGCTAGCGGGCAATCGCTGTCGCCAACCGCCGCGAATTGCCGCAAACAGCCGCTCGACCAGCAATTGGCGGCAGCTAGCTGCGAATAGCGGCATTCAGATGTATTCGGCAGCCTTTGGCGGCGATCGCGGCGATTGGCGGTGGCGATTGGCAGCGATCTGCGATTACTTCCCGGCCAGCGAGGCATGTCAGGTACATGCGGTCTGTGGCCCCCTCTGGGCCGTCCTGGGCCGGAGACGGAAAGTCCCCAAGAAGGCCCCGAAAGAATTGCAGGACGCACGTACTGGGGTGCCCCAAGGTGCAAGCCCAAGACGCATGTCAAGCACATGCGGTTTGGCTCCCTCCTGGGGATCCTTGCAGGCCTTCATAGGGCCGCTCTGGAGCTTCCCGAGACCGCCTGGAAGTGCCGAGATGGACGCCCAGGGCCCCACGAGGGCTCCAAGAATGTCCCACGACGCGTGCGCTTAGGCACGCCTCTGGCAAGCCCAAGAGGCATGTCACGCACATGTGGTTTGGGCCCACCTTGAGGCCCTCCTGGGCTTTTCTTGGACATTCAAGGACGGCCTGGGAGTGCTGCGATGGACCCCGAGAGGGCCCCACGACGGCAGCAACGCTCATGTATTTGGGCGCGCCCACATTGGCAAGCCCAAGAAGCATGTCAAGTGCATGCGCTTTGTGGCCCTCGCTGGGCCCCCCTGAATGCCTTCCCTGGCTCCCTGAAGTCTTCGACGATGGCCTGGGAGCACCAAACATGTGGTCCAACAGAGTCCCCAGATTGCCCCAGCAATGCCCCAAGGCGCATGTACCTTGGTGGCCCAAGGCGCATGTCAAGTACATGCGGTTTGGGATCTTCGGGGAGCGCCTTTGCCGTCCTCCCAGGCCCCTCTGGAGTCCGCGAGCCCGCGCAGCGTTCGCGCGGGGGGGGGGGGGCAGTGGGGGGGAAGACAAAGACGTCGAAGGCGAGAACGAGGAGGAGCAGGCGGCGGTGGCGACGACGGCGGCGGCGGCAACGATGACGGCGTTGAGGGGAGGGATGGGGAGGAGGAGGTGAAGGAGGACGGCGGGGGAAGAGGGGGATCGGGGCAAGAAGGAGCTGGGGGAGGAGGAGGAGGAGGAGGAGGAGGAGGAGGAACATGTTTACGATAACAGAACGAACGGCTGATGAAGATGAGGACGAGGGAACGAACGGCTGGTGAAGGTGAGAACAAGGGAGCAGGATGAGAAGCTGGATGACGATGACGACTTGGAGGAAAGGAGGAACAGGAGTGATATGATGGTTCAGACTCTTCGCCAATCGCTACACGTGGCAGCCAATCGCCGCCAATCTTTCTGCTATCTACAACTACTTGCCTCTAAACCGCCACCATCTTGACATCAACAAGCTACGGGAGCACGCGGAAAAAGTGCAAGTATCCAGCCTAGCTGACATCGTCGAGAGAAAGCCGACCCTGGTTTCTATCGTATCGAGCGCATCCCAGGTGTGCGAGCAGCCGCGCAGCCGCCATGCGGGCCGCCTCAGAGTGCGCGCCCGGCCTCGCAGCACGCCAGCAGCGCCGTGGGTCGCCGGGTCGCCTCGCGGCCGGTCAGCCGTTGCCGCCTCGAGCGGGAGCACCGCCCAGCGGGCCCTGGGGACCGTGCGCCAAGCGACCGCCCGCGCTCGAAGCGCGGCCGTCTGCTCCGAGCCTCCCCGTGCATTTCTCGGCTTCGTGCGTGTATCTTCTCGCAAGAAGACCCGAAAGGCTCCTCGATGGTCCTCGCCGAGGAAACATGCACACGTCCGAGCGATGCCAGGGAGCGTGAGAGGCTGGCCAGACCAGCCCCGGCCAAGCAGAGCGCGGCGGCGGTATCCGCGGCGCTCCCGCTGGCCGCCGGAGAAACGTCGCCGAAGCGGCCGCGCCCGCCGCAGCGGCCGCGCATGCGCCGCCGCGCCCGCCGACAGCCGGAGCACCGCCTCCGCGAGCTGCCTCCGTGGGCCGCGCCGCCACCCGCGTCGAGGCTCCCGCGGCGACGTCGCTCCCAGAGGAGGAGGTGGACACGCCGCTGAGCGCGGGCAGGGTGGCGGCTCTCCGCCTTGTTCGGTGGCAACTCATGGGAGCCTCCCGCACCATCTTGTGTCGGCTCCTGCGAGCCGACGCTACATCGATGCTAAATCGACGCTCATCGGCGCTAAAGCGCTGCTAATCGACGCCAACCGACGCTAAACCGGCGCTACAGCATCGACTCCAGACGCTAATCGACGCTAAATCGACGCTGAAGACGGAATGAAGAGGGTACACCAGGCTCCCGTGATGTTGCCACCGAAGAGCGCGGGGCAGGTGGCGGCTCTCCACCTTGTGGAAGAGCGCCCAAAAGCCCGGGCAGAGCGCGGGTATGCAAGTAAGGCCTATATATATATATATATATATATATATATATATATATATATACACGCATGTATATATACATAGATGTGCGACTGGTGCAGGATGTCCAGAGCTCCCTCGACACCACACCAGCTTTCTCGATGTGAGCAGCCTTGCCGCTCGCTCAGGCCCGAAGCCTCTCAAGTGGGCGCACGGCAGCCACGAGGTGGATCTGTCTGACCAGGCATTTGCAGATGCGCAGGTGCACGAGCTGACCGCTCAGGAAATCTGCACCACGTTCGGACGGTACCAGCGCGTGGACCCGAAACGAACCGGCACATCTAACAAGTATGTTTACTCTTTGCTACATAATATCTCCCATCTTACAATCGAAAAGATACCCTATACTCTCTACAAATTACTCCCTCCTTCATGCTCGACCCTCCTCCCTCTATTTCAAGCCCTCTGCTCTCTACCATCTCTCTACTCTGTACTCTCTTCTCTCTCTCTCTCTCTATCGCTGACTCGCTCTCTCTCTCTCTCTCTCTCTCTCTTTCTGTCTCTCTATCTCTCGCTCTGTCTCTCTCTCTCTCTCTCTGTCCCCTGTCTACAATCTATTCCCTAAACCTGTACACTCTACTCTGTAACCTCTCCTATGTACTCTCTCGCGGATGGAACCATGTGAATGGGACTCCCATTAGATGCGGATTACGTGTGGGACCCATTATAATTGATAAACTGGTTGCGTATATCCGCAAGGAGGGACTGCACTGGACAGTTGGAGAGACGCGTCGCCTGCTCAATCACATCATTCTACTGCGCACGGCTACTCACATCGGGCTACAGCCCTGACGTGGCGGCCAATGAGGGCGCAAAGTTGGACGCACCCAACGCATGAAAGACACCAGGCAATACAATTTGTTCATCGTACGACTGTCATCCCGCACCAGTGAAGAATTGCTTAATTGACTGCGCATGGCAGCAAGGAGGGCTGCACAAAGAAAAATGGGAGAGACGCTTTGCCTGCTCAATCACATCGTGCTACTGCGTATGGCGATCCCCACATCGGGCTACAGCGCTGACAGTGCTGTCAGGCAGGGGCGCCTCACTGGACGAGCACGGTTGCCGCGAAAATCGTCATTGCCGAGACCACAGGCCACGCCCAAGGCGTGCTACGCAGCTCGCCACTGATATCATCAGACTCGCCAGACGTATCAGACACTGTAACTGTGAAGCGGGAGCCCAAATTGCAATGAAGTGGCGATACCGTGCCGTTAGCGTAGGCTGTGGTGGTTGAAGCGCCGATGAAGACCTGGCCGACGTGCGCCTGGGTCAGGCTCAGCTCGAACGGGCTGTCCCACTGCCCGCCCACTTCGATGGCGGTGTCAAAAGCGCAACTGGCGAGGGCGCTGGCGTTCGGGTACAGCGCAATGTTTGAGAAGCCCAGGTAGATGAACCTCGAGGAGAAGGAGGACGAGGAGGAGGAAGGAGGAGGAGGAGGAGGAAGGAGGAGGAGGAGGAGGAGGGAGAAGGAGGAGGAGGAGGAGGAGAGGAGGAGGAGGAATGAACCTCAACGTCGTCCCCACCGTGGCATTGCCAATATCTGCGTACCTGCTCGCACCTGGCGGAGGGTTGTTCCAACCGTACCCGCTGCCGACAAGGACGGTGTCATCGGAAATCCATTGGTGCTGCACAAAGCCGTCAACGACGAAGCTCTCCTGCTGAGAGCTCGCGAGCTCGACGCTGGAAGAGTAACGGTTCTGATAACCGTGGTACTTGAAGCCCAGGACGGTATCGATGTCAGAAGTGATCGCTGCTGGGGCCGAAGCGTACCGGACCTGGACGGTGTCCCCGTGAAACGGCGCTTTCCTGCTCCGGCTCCAAACTATGGTGTGCCAACTCCCATCGGACGTTACGTTAAGAAGATTGATGTCCTCGTGGGCAGGGCTCTGGGGTCGCATGCCTAAAGTCACCCCTGAAGTGCCAACCATGAAATCTCCCTCGCCCGTGGTATCGTTGAACTGACACACCTGGCCCTGACTCATCGTATGGGCCTCGCTGGTACACTCCCAAACAGGAGCGGGGGCAGTCATGCCAAGGCCACTTGTAGGCCCGAAATACGTCAGCCAGAATGCTCTGTATGTGATGCTGCCGTCTGGCTGTACCGTGAAGTAGTAGGCCAGCGAGGCGGTCGGGTCACCCACTTCTTGAGTGTACGTGAAAAAGATGTACCCGAACCACTCCACGTCAGCTGGAACGACACTCGTGATCATCACCGAATCGGAGCTGATGTCGAATACAGTGTACTCCTCGGACTGGAAAGGCGGGCTGAGATACACTTTGTGTGTGCCGGCCGCCTGGCCTGGAGGGGGCGTAGTCGAGGTGATAGACAGGTCGGTGTCCAGCATGCCACCGCAAAGGCCACACGTCTTCTTACACACATCGTCGACATCAGTTCCCCAGCATTCCGTTCCACAAGGACAAGAAGCAACCAAGACCGCACATTCCTTGATCGGGGACGCCGTCTGCGCGAGAGTGTCCTCGCATGCACAAGCACCACAACACACAGTCGACACTGCTGTGCTCCCCATTGCCGACGTCACCGCTCCATCGCAGCCATGCTCCGCGATCAGCTGCTCGCAACTGCACTGGCTCCCGAAGGTGCAGAGCGGATGGTCGGCGATGGTGTCATCGCACGCCAGCGCTGCCGACAAGGCCCCCAGCACGGCCACGAGAGAGCGCAGATGCTCCATTGCAGGGACCGCACCTGGCCCGCGCCAGGGATCTGCACGGCGAGGCGCTCCTCTGAAGCAGAGGGAGGCGGCTTGAGACAAAAAACGGCTTGAATCAACACGGCTGGGGAACTACAGGTGGAACCCAATAGGTGGAGCATTGTTGTTGGGACAGTATGACTCCCTTTTCCCAACCATCCTGTGGTAATGGGTCATCGTTCTGAAGAGACAGCGCCCCGCGCTCCTCTCCTCCTCTCCTCCTGCTTCCCTCCCCCTCCCTCCTCCCGTCACCCCCCTCACGTTGGAACACCCCTCACACGCTTCGCGGCCCCATAGGGAGCTCCACCGAAGGCCGCAGTGACACCGCCCGCATGCGTCACCCCCACCCAGTACAACACTTCGTGGCCCCATAGGGAGCTCCACCGAAGGCCCCAGTGGCACCACCCGCATGCGTCACCCCCACCAAGTACAGCGCTTCGTGGCCCCATAGGGAGCTCCACCGAAGGCCCCAATGGCACCGCCCGCATGCGTCACCCCCCATCCAGTACAGCGCTTGTTGGCCCCATAAGGAGCTCCACCGAAGGCCCCAGTGGCACCGCCCGCATGCGTCACCCCCCATCCAGTACAGCGCTTGTTGGCCCCATAAGGAGCTCCACCGAAGGCCCCAGTGGTACCGCCCGCATGCATCACCCCCACCCAGTGGCACCGCCAGCATGCATCACCCCCACCCACTACAAGGTTTCGTGGCCCTATAGGGAGCTCCACCGAATGCCCCCAATGGCACCGCCCGCATGCGTCACCCCCTCCCAGTACAGCGCTTCGTGGCCCCATGGGGAGCTCCACCAAAGGCCCCAGTGGCACCTCCCGCCTGCATCACCCACCACCCAGTGCAGCGTTTCGTGGCCACATAGGGAGCTCCTCCGAAGGCCCCAGTGGCACCGCCCGCACGCGCCACCCCCCACCCTGTACAGCGCTTCGTGGCCCCGTAGGGAGCTCCTCCGAAGG